ACAAACTTCAGGCAATGTCGAAATCGGGAACAATCTTTTTGGGGGAGATTGTTGAAGGAATCGGTGTAAGGTTCGCGATTTTAGAAATTGGTGAAATGGGCAGGTTGATTCAGAGGCTTGTTCACCAGGTGTGGAGGAAATGGGTGGGTCGATTTGCCGGGAGAGGTCGACGGAAGTGGCTTCTTCTTCGAATTGGGGAGAAATGTGTTGGTGTTAGGGATTTCAACTGTATACAATGTGTATTGTCATTTTTTTGGGGGGAAAACGCGTCCAACATGGTGGATCTTGACGCCGTCGACGGCTTGGTCAGCTGCCGTTAAGCCACATCAGACCGTTTCAAACGGCTGAAATCATGGGTGGTGGATGGAGGGGTTAATCCGTAAGTTCAGTGATGGTGGAGAAGCTAAATGAAGTTCAGTGACTATAAGATGACAATGGGCAAAGTTCAGTGACTAATCAAACTTTTTACTCATTGTTTAATAGAAAAAATGTGTCTAGTCAAAAATGCCTTAGCTTTATTTGGTCAAAATTTTCATTTACGTGGTCAAATGACGATTTATGGGATCAAATAGACCAAAGCCATCATTTTGGACTGCATTCGCAATTTTAAAAGTTTGGTACCTTGATTGGCACAAATAAAAAGTTTATGTCAAATCGTTTTTTAAATGAAAGGTTTGTTACATATGCAATTCTTCCTAATTTTTAAAAGGACAATTCTACTTGTACATAGGGGGTGCCATAAGGGTTCACATTATGGCTAAATGGCACCCCCCTATTGGAGGGTCGGTTGGGCCCACACCCCCTATGTACCCATAGCAAATAAAAATGGACGAATGTGTAAAGGAATTATGGCATTGGGTTAAGCTGCCCTCATATCACACTCACAAGAGTAAATCGCGTGGGTAATTTTGACAATTCGCATCTAGGGTTTCACTGCTCCTCTTTCCTTCGTCTGCTTATAAATTCGAACGCCTCCCCCATTTCTTTGCATCATTTATGTCCGTATCTCTGGATTGTCGTAATAATTTTTTCGATTATTTTC